TCTAGCTTCCCACCTGACATCTCCACCTGGATATATGCTGGGCATCCCAGAAGGAATACCTGTCCACACACACGGACAGGCATGCCCCTGCCTCAGCCCAGAGCCCTCCTTCTGCATTTTTCCCATTTCAGGGGCAACTTCATCCTTACAGTTGCTTAGGCCAGAACCTTGGGTATGCTGGACCATTCTCTTTGTTCACGTACCATCAACCAATCCTATGACCTCTCCCTTGAAGCTGAGTCAGAATCCGAGCATTTTTCACCTTTTCTGCTTGCTGCCACCCTGGTCCTGGCCACCATTGGCTCTTATCTGGGTCCTTGCTGTGGCTTCTCAACTGTCTCCCTGCCTCTGCGCTACCTTCTTTTAGTTTACTCTAAAAGCAACAGCCTGGGAGTTCCTGTTAGAATAGAAATCAAACTCCTGCCATAGCTCTGTCTTACTTGGAGTGGAAGCCACCACTCTTAGCATCTCCTGTGGGTCCCACGTCACCTGGCCCTTGTTACCGTTCTGGTCTCATCCTTTTTCCTTCCCACCCTCTGCTCCAGCTGCATCCTTGACACACTAAGCCTGCTCCCTGTCTAGGCCCTTCTCGTTTGCTGTTTTTCCCGGCCTGGAATAGCCTTCTGCAGTCATCTCCAAGGCTCCCTCCTTCACCTCCTCTCTTCTTTTCCAAATGTCACTTTCTTAATGGGGTCAGCCCTAGCTTCTTTTTTTTTATTTTTTTTTTAAGATTTTATTTATTTATTTGACAGAAAGAGAGAGAGACAGTGAGAGAGGGAACACAAGTATGGGGAATGGGAGAGGGAGAAGCAGGCTTCCTGCTGAGCAGGGAGCCTGATGCAGGGCTTGATCCCAGAACCCTGGGATCATGACCTGAGCCGAAGGCAGACACTTAACGACTCAGCCATGCAGGCGACCCATTCCCTGGCTTCTTAGTTAACATTTTGATACCCACCTAGCCACTCCTGGCATTCCCCAAGCCCCTTCCTTCTTTACTTTTCTCCTTGGAGCAACTCCCTCCAACATTTCCCTTATTTATCTTATTTATCGTATGTCTCTTGCCGCTAGACAGTCAGCTCCATGAGAACTAGGGTTTTGTCTGTTCCCTGATGTGACAGCCGTGCCTCCCTCCTAGGAGACACCTGGCACCTCTTTATGAAACGAATGTCTGCTAATAGGAGGTCGTCTCCTCTCTCTTCACTACTTCTTTCTGACTTCCTATGGAGCTGTTGTCTTAACTCCTGTCTGTGCTTTGTCCATGGAGTTAGTACGACACAGTGGTAAAACCAGTGGACAGCCAAGTGCAAACGGAACTTAGCATTTGGCTGCCTCATTCCCAAGCTGTGTGACTTTGGATAAGTAGCTTGGCCTGAGATTTCATTTCTTTGCTTCTAAAATGGAGGAAGCTGCCCTGTCTGTCACTCAGGGTTGCCATGAAGTCTCAACAGAATAATGGATAAAGGACCATCAAAGACAAGATGTGGTTTTCATTTACCACGGCGTCTGGCCCAGGCTCAGCGCCAGAGCTTTATGGATATGACGGTCTCATTTAATTCTCAAATCAGTGAAATACAAACTCGCACCCCTGAACTCATTTTATATATAAGAAAACTGACGTGCACCAAAAAGTTCAGTGAATTACTTAACTGCCCAAGAGCTAGTCTGCAATTCAGCCAGGCTTTGAACCCAAGCGTTTTTATTCCACAGCCTGAGTTTTTCCCCCACTACGTTCTACTAGCACAAAGTTAATGTCTTAATAACCAAATGGAATAATGAAAAGGATTTGACCCAACGTGCAACTTTTGTCTCCAGACGATTTTTTTCTGGACTGCTAATGAACGTAGCAGTTTCCTGATGGTATTTTTATCCCCTTTTCAACTCAAACAGGCAGAAATTCCCGTCATCCAAAAGAAAAAGGTATTGTCAGGCATTCCTCTATCTTTCCCCTCCTCCCCCAGGGAAAGAAACGCTATCATATGTCCCCTGAGATTTCTGTTGTACAGTCTAACCAAGTCCAGATGGTTTTCTCAAGTTCAGACATCATACTTGGTAAAGTATTTGTAGTTATCTATGGAAACAAATTCTGGACTCAGTTGCAAACACGGCATCCCAAATCACTTATGCCATGCTCTTCTGCCTTGTTTGTTATGGCCTTTCTGTGCTAATGAATTTGTAAATGTGGTTTAATTACTGTTTACTGAAAAATAGCTACACACAGATCAGTCTCAGTGGGAGACTTAGCCAAAATGTTGAGGCAATTTCTTTCAAGTGCAAAAACAGCTAATAAGTGAGAAGCACTTTTTAAACATTGGGAAAGGAACTTAAGCTTAATTTTGAAGAAACGGTGTTGTATAGACCCAGAAAAAAGAAGTCATTCTTTAAGAGAGTATATTTAAATGGCAGAATGGTATTTTTTTTTTTCCTAAGGCTGGGCACACGGTGATTTGCACAGAAGCAAAGTACAGGGATGGTGATTTGATTGAACATCACACCGAAGAGCTGTACTTTAAAGAGCCCCCAAAAAGGAAAACCCAAAATTACTTATAAATTTCACAAAAATGTCCCGGAGCTCTGTAAAGCCATGTATTATGTATTACCTCATGTTTCTGAATTCCTGCCTCAGGCAAATTGCCAACTTAGCAACTAAATGACCGTTTTCAAATTCTAATACAAACCAGCCCTTCTAACTTCGCTTTTCTCCCTCCAGAAAAAAAAAAAAAAAAAAAAAAAAAAAGGGACACACGAGGGAAAGGAAAGTTATTGGAAGGTTCATTTTATAAATTGTGCTTCATCTGGAGCTGGAGTTTAGTCTTGCTCTTGCATAAAACGGTGTTTGCCTGATTCCACACGAAGAGGGCTCTTCGTGCCCCTGCCACTGTTGGTCCTGCTCATAGGACGGGGTGCTCTGCTCTCCCTGCTCTTTCCGAGGCTCCCGGGGTAGGAGCAGGGGTGGAGCCTGCTCTGCCTCCAGGGCGAAACTCAGAAAACAAAATCAGTCACCTTGCCAATTACTAAGATTGCTTGGCATTTCTTGAACTCTGGATATAATGCAAGAAATTGGAGCAGTATGAGATGCAAATACTGCCCTCTAGGAATTTATTTTTAGTGGGGGCAGAAGACAGGGCTGCAGGCAATTCAATAGAAGAGATTTCCGAACTGGGGGTTGGAGCGGGTGGCGGGCATGGTAAAGGGGGTCAAAGGTACAAACTTCTAGTTATAAGATAAATAAATCCTATGGCACGTCCAGGGCCTCATCACTGTAGGGGAAAGACTTCTTTTCTGGGAAGATTATTACAGATTTCCATGTTGTGATGATTCAGCTGTCCATTGGTCATTGCTTTTTTCATTGACTCGCCAAATGTTATTTGTGGGAGCCAGAGAGGGAAAAGTAGTCCCAGTAGAGACTGTGTCTCAAGGGGCTGACCCTTCAGAGAGACAGAGACAGACATTAAATAAACACCACAAGAGAAAAATCTCAAAGAAAATTGGAAATCACGATTAAAATGGGGATGTGTAGTCTTTCACATAGCCTATAATTTCCCAAGCTTTATTTTCAGGATTTTTTCTAGTATCGGAAAAATGCAAAGTGTAGAGCCCCCCTTTATGAGAAGGGGCTTATCCTGACAGTGCTTAAATCATAAGACTTTGGAAATAAGAACAAATCTCAGATACCACCTCCTCCAGGAAGGCTTTCCTGATAGCACCTATGCTGCCTTTTGGCTTGGGTGTCCTATCTATGTACTCTCATCGTACCACATCCATTCCCCTGGTAACAATGAACTGAATATCTGTTGTATTGTCTGTCCCCTCACTGCCACCACCATTTCTGAACTTACACAGCTGGGGGCCTCCGAAGATGGAGGGGCCACATCTCACTCTTCTTTGAATCCACGGCATGCAACACACGCCTGGTGCCTGGTGTTCACCTACTTAATAGTGATGGCTCTGTGAATAGGAAGATAGGGGTTTTTTGAATAGGGGTTTTTTTTTCCATCTAACAGAAGTTGCCTTTGTTCCCCACAGTATGTTAAGTTTAAAAATAGGTAAAAAAAAAAAAAAAAAAAAAAAAAAAGTGTATATATTCTTGTTTTTTTGAAGTGCAAAATACTAAAACATGTTAATAGCATTTCACATAAGCATGCCTATAAAAATTCTGGAAGGACACACACCAAAATGCCCGCAAGGTTATCTCTAAGTGTGAAGATTTGAAGTGTTGCTAATTTTTTTCTCTATGCATTGCTGTGCTATCTTACTTTGTTTTGAACAGTGTACCACTGTTATAATACAATATAAAGTTGATTGTATTTAAAAAGGAAAGTTTGGCCTCTTCCGTAAGCACGCATGTAAACCATTTATGAAGCCTCATCTTTACCATCTGAACCCAACGCTGACAGTGACTTGACTTTGTGAATTTAAAGAACCCATCTAGCTTGGTAGCGTTTAATGGTATTAGATGGATTTGTATTGTCCTTACTCATACCTGTTTTTTAATATTCAGAAGGTCCCCAAGCAGCACTTTCCTTGGACGTATTCTAGCAATAAATCATAAATTACCTCTTCTGTCTCTCTCTCTCTTCCTGTTCTCCTCCTTAAATTCTCCCTGCTAATACTGGGATTGGGTGTTACAGCCTCAGTCATCTTAATGTCAGGCTAGACCTCTTGCAAATAGACGAGGCAGAACTAAGTAGCGCATTTCCCTGGCCCTGGCTCTGACTCTCCCCCTCCCTCCTTTTCTCCCTCTTCTTTCATGATGAATCCCTTGTTTTCTCATGGTTCAGTACAGAGAAGGCATCCGTTTTCTGGTCCATGGTATTTCCACTTGACATCTTCAGACCGCCTGTCTTTCTGTCATTCTGTTTGGCTGAATTGGACAACCAGACCGTGTTATGGACTCAAAGAGTCCATTTCTTTTCCCCGGAGGAACAGGCACAAATTCTAAAGTGTGCCTCCAAAGAACAGATCTAAAAACGAGGTGTCTTCTTCTGTCTCTGCAGCTGAATCCTCGCTGCCAGGATGGGGAAACAGAACAGCAAACTGCGCCCGGAGGTCATGCAGGATTTGCTGGAAAGCACAGACTTCACGGAGCACGAGATCCAGGAGTGGTATAAAGGCTTCTTGAGAGACTGCCCCAGTGGACACTTGTCAATGGAAGAGTTTAAGAAAATTTATGGGAACTTTTTCCCTTACGGGGATGCTTCCAAATTTGCAGAGCATGTCTTCCGCACCTTCGATGCCAATGGCGATGGGACGATAGACTTTAGAGAATTCATCATAGCCTTGAGCGTGACATCGAGGGGGAAGCTGGAGCAGAAGCTGAAATGGGCCTTCAGCATGTATGACCTGGATGGGAACGGCTACATCAGCAAGGCGGAAATGCTAGAGATCGTGCAGGTACGTAGCCCTCACCTCTTACAAAGCCAAGGGCATGAGTCCCAGGTAAGAACTGGCAGGGGATCCGTCCAGCATGGGGCAAGGTGCAGCCTTGATTTGGCCTGCACAGTTTTTGAAAACGCTGAACCCATAGTTGCAAACAGAAGAGTACACATAAACATGCAGAGTTTTTGGCATCTCTTGGAAACGCAGATCTGGCAACACTGGGTCCCCATTCTTGCTTGGCCTAAGTTACCTGATTGCTTTGTGGTGACTTCCCCCCCCTACCCACCACCACACATGGGCATACATTCCTTAGCAAATTCTGCTCACTGTGGCCCCTCCATCCACCCATCCCCAGGACCTGCCCAGACCTCGAGCCTTTGGGGTTATATCCCCTGGAGTGGTATCTAATGATCAAGTCTCTGACCTGGGGTTCAAACCCTGCCTCTTTCAGTTACTACCTCTATGACTCTGACCAACTTAATTCACCTAAGTGAGCCTCAATGTTCCCATCTGTGAAAGCGAACTGCCACCCATGTTTTGGGGTTAGTTTAAGATTAGGTGTGACTGTCCCTGTTCAATGCTTAGCCCAGTACCAGGCATACAGAAAAGCAGAAAAGCTCATCATCCCCACTATCATTAATTGACAACTTTCTTAGACTCTTGAATAAAGGCAGGGACTGGGCTGGGTTCTGTCTCGTCAGAAATGCAAACATTGTAGAATCAAGGAAGCACTCCATTTTATTTCCCCAGATCACTCACCGAGAGTAAATACCCTGAACAGGCCAGGAGAAGGGGCCCTGGTGTTGGCCACATTTTCCTTGTCAGACCCCAAGGGAAGGTGGGGAAGGGACACGAGGAGCCGTAAGTGGTCGTGCCACCACCAGCTTGATCGGCAGTGAGTGGGACTCAGAGAGGAACTTAGGGGGACTGAGACACAGCTCAGGGGATGATCAGGACAGCTTCAGCTGCAGGCAATAAAAAGGACTAGGTGGGTGGGCTGGCCATCACTCACCATCTTGGCAGGAGAATGGGCACAAGAAGGAAGCATCTGGAAGCAGACAGCAGTCCAAGAGAGTGGGCATTTGGCTTCCTGGAGGGCTCATCTCAGGAGCCAGCACTCCTTCCAGAGCTTTGAGGTTCTGAGATAGATCTACAGCCCCTGGGAGGACAGGTGGGGCTGCTGGAAGGGAGGGAGGGGGTAGGACACAAGGAAACGGATAGCAATCCTCTGCTGGTGAGATTAGGGGTGGAGTCAGAGGAGCATTTGCTTTCAAGGAAAGAACCAGGGAGAGCCCGTTGCAGAAGCCTAATGTCAGAGCCGAAAGAGACCCACATGACTGCCTTGTCATCGAGCCCTTGTAGCTGAGGCCTGGGGTCTGCTCCTGGGGCAGTGGGCCTGACCCCACAGGACAGTGAGAAGGACAGGTGCACACAGAGCTGGAGGCGGAGCAGGAGTCCGGTTCCCAGATCTGCCAGCTAGTTCTTTCTGTGGCTCTTCCTTCCCCTTGAGCCACGACTATCTGAATGTGGTATGTTAAATTAATCCGTCAGAGCCAAGATCTTAAACAAGAATAAAGGATTTCAGGGGCACCGGGGTGGCTCAGTGGGTTAAGAGATTTGCCCTCAGCTCTGGTCATGATCCCAGTGTCCTGGGATGGAGCCCCTTGTCAGGCTCCCTGCTCAGTGGGGAGCCTGCTTCTCCCTCTCCCTCTGCCGCTGCTCCCCCTGCTTGGGCGCTCTCTCTCTCTCTCTCTCTCTCAATCTGCGCCAAATAAATAAAATCTTAAAAAAAAAAAAAGAATAAAGAATTTCTCCCCTCCCCCAAGGATAAATGTATAAAAATGTGATGTCAACGGTAAAAATATGGGCAGTACAGAAAAATACAAAAGCAAAAGAGAATTCTCCATATTCCCACTCCACATACAAAGAGATAATTTCTAGTATTAGAAAGTAATATTTTCTGGTCTTATTTCTGTCATTTAAATGATTTCATAAAGTATATGAAATTTTGTTTCTTGCCATTTTTCACTCAAACATAATAATACAAGCATTTCTTGTGTCATAAAAACTTTAATAATGATATTTTAATAGCTGCATAATAGTCATACAGTACAACTTACTTTCTCTTCCTCTGTTGTTGGATATATAACTTGTTTCCAGGTTTTATTAATATACATGATACTATAATTTTTAAGTATAAAATAACAGATCATTCTTGTGCGTGCTGCTTTTTCTATATTTAGCATTATCCCCTTAGAATGGGTTCCCAAAAGTACAATTACTGGGCCAAAGGGAAGGAGCACTGATTTCTGAGATGCTGGATGCTCTCTGCCAAGCTATTTTCCCAAACACGCTGCTTGGGTGAATGAAGGAGGTGCCGTGGCATTGCACTTTTCCGGTTTTTCTTCATCTTTGCTAATTAAACAAACATTTAAATTTCAAAGGTGATTCGTTTTAATTAGCTTTATTTTGTCTCTCCTTTTGGGGGTGGGGGAGTGCTGCGCTCTGCCCCCGTGTCCTCTGCCCCACTGCAGAGAAACGGGGTGACTCTGTTCTCCTTTTGAAGAGAATGACTTCCTGATTGGGATTTAAGGGGAAAAAAATTTCGTTAGCCACCGTGTTCTCTCCTGTGGAACATTTTTGCGCAGTTCTCCTGGCTGCCCCTGCTCAGGGGTTTGGTGGACAGTACTGATGAAGATGTTGACCCTCAGTCAGGGAGAACCCTCCAGAACCCTTGGGCTTCTGAACATCAGACCATTCAAGCATTGGCTCGCACCTACAGTTCAGCACCCGCTAGGTAGCTGGCCCCGGGAATAAAGAGTGTAGGCAGCACCACAGACACCCTCCCCAGGCTGTGGAATTTGGTTTGCAAGGGTGGGTGGGGACTTGGCAGAGGACGCACAGAAGGTTCTAGTAGGCACTTGCTGAGCCCCTGCCCTGTGTTCTGCACGAAATGTAGAAAGGGACCATAGAAACGAAGGGCCATTCGGCTTCACAATACATTTTCTGCCCTCCTCCCCCCCACCATAAGTAGCTCAGTCCGCTCACAGGCCCAAGGGAAGTTTCCAGGTCATCACAGGAAGGACTCAGAGTCCTTAATAAATGCTTATGTACTCAGGGTTTTTGAGGAGCCTGCAAATGGAAACCTCAAGTCTCCGTAGTTGTTTCCTGCAGCCCCGCCCTCCGGTAATTAATATTCATGACCGTGGGGAGGAAACACTGCAGCACCCCGAGGCGGTTTCCAAATTGCCAAAGAAATTCAATTAAATTTAGAATCATTTTCCTATGAAGGGCTAAGTTATTCTGTTCTGCTCCTTTGCAAATGGACAGTTCCGGATTCTGCCTCATTCTTGTGCTGAGCCCCGGGTTGCGGTGACTGGGTGAACTGGAATGTGGAGGACACTATCAGACTTTCCGTTCTTTTCGTTTCCTCTTTTCTCTCCCCACCCGGAAAGCGACGGCCCGCACTCCGGGCGCTGGGCCTGTCCCAGGAAGCCGTGTACCAGTGTGCGGGTTCTTGGGGGGCGGGGCGCTGAGGAGGGTGCTGGTTCCAGCTGGTTCCTGCCCTCCAGCAAAGACCTCTGCAGAGCTGCGCCTACTTCAGACCAGTAACTGTCCCTTGGGTTTCTGCTTTGTGTTAGATACATCTATGTTAGGGGGTGATGAGACGGGGGCAAGATGTGGGCCCCAGAATCATTCACAAAGGGCGCTTCCATTTGTTAAAGTGAGTAAAACCTGCAACTCGATGGCAGGCACCAACGTGTGAATTCTTGGGTGAATTTGTTCCTCCAAGACTCAGAAATTCAAGCAGTTTAATAAAAGGCAAATTCATGGTGTTCACTGACAGACCCTAAAGACTGGTAAGGGTGTGGATTGGGGTCCAAACGAGTTTATAATTAGGCTCGACAAGAATGGAGTGTGGGATTCTGTAAATTTTCCAGTTTTTCTTCCCTGAGGTTGCTTCTCGGAGTTTAGCGTTGGCAATCACATAATATTGTTTATGGGCCGAGCTTTGGTCTCTGTTGTAGACTCCAATACTGACATAACGCCCTGGGAGTTTCCTTTTGTTGCTCTAACAGATTTCTGTAAACTTAGTTGCTTAAAACAACACAAAGTTATTATTTTAACAGTTCTCCAGGTCAGAGGTCTGAACTCAGTTTTACTGGACTAAAATCAAGGTGTCCACAGGTTGCATTCCTTCTGGAGGTTTTAGGGGAAAATGTGTTTCCTTGCCATTCCTGGTTTCTGGAAGCATTCCTTGACTTGTGGCCTCCTTCCTGCATGTCCAGAGTCAGCAAGCTTAGATGGATTGAGTCCTTCTCATACCAGCATTTCTCTGGGCATCTCCCTTTGCTTCTCTCTTCCATTCAGAAGGACCCTTGCGATTACATTGGGAGCCGCTTGCCTGGAGAACCTTGTGATCACAAGGTCTTTAACTTAATTCCCATCACGCTTTTAGCATGTAAGGTGACATTTTCACAGGTTCCGGGGGGTAACAACCTGCATATCTTTGGGGGGACTGTTATTCAGTCTACCACATATGCCAAAATGCAGTTATGTTCCTTTTTTAAAAAAATAATTTTGTGCTCTATCAACATCTGGATGAACAAACAAAACCATATGCAGATTTATTTTTAGAGCCTTAAATGAACATTTTCACGTTCACGTGTTTGTTTTTTTTCAAGTGACAAATTTAGGAACACGGTTTAGGCCTAGTATTTTATTATTGCGTCAAAACCGCCTCTCAGGAGTCATAAGCCAGACAGATTACAGCGCTGACCTTTTCCTCCTGTTACAGCAGATCCTCTCCTCCAGATGGGGGCCCCGAGACCTGGGAGAAGCCTTCTGCCTCATGTAGCCACCTGTCAGCCCAGCTGGAGACAGGTCTGCACCAAACACCCGTCCCAGCACAGGGTCTGAGGAAGGGGCCGAGGGAGTGGGGAAGGGACGTTGCTGATTTGCCCATGAGTGCTTGGACGCTCCCTGGGTTGTGCGGGAGCTCGGTAAATGTTGGC